CACACACATGCACACACACACACACACACACACACACAGACGTAAGCACGCACGCACACACACACACACATGCACGCATGCACGTACGCATGTAAGCACGCACGTACGCACGTACTCACGCGCGCGCACACACACACACGCACGCACGCGTATGCACGCACACACATACACACACACACACACACACACGTACACGCACGCACGCATGTACGCACGTACTCACGCGCACGCGCGCACACACCCACACATAGCGAGACCGATTAAGGAACTGCCTAAACATATATTTGTGTCTCTTTATCGCTTTAATTTTCTTTAATTGTTGTTCTTACAAATTTTTGATTTCGTTATTATTTCGATTAATTTGATTAGAAATTGTTTTCAATTTTATTTTAAATTTTTGTTGTTGATATAATCACAATCACTTCGATTGTGATTGACTTTTTATATCAACAAAGTAAATTGAATTTCCAAACATGATCAATCGTACTCAAAGTGTTCGATAAATTATCTTTGTGTATTTTTATTGCTTTGTGTTCATTAGAAATAAGCATTACGAATAACTTTACATTTGTTTGATCTGTGACTTGATCATTGTTGAGAATTTTGTGTTCATTATCATTCCATAAGGTTTATGTTGCGCATGTAGCTTTTCGACAGTAGGTTCAGTTAGATGACTTGATTCGAGTTGTTTTTCTATTGTGCCATACTTTTTGTAAACAAATTTTTGCAAAGAGTTTTTGGTTTTAAATTTGTGATCTATTCACCCCTCCTCTTGATCGAAGCCTATCGTCTAACAGACTTTTCAACCTTTTTCTCTTGTAGAATATCTTTATTTTGACCTTATATAATTTGCAGATGACACTCTGATCTTAGGTCAAGCAAGTTGGGAAAATATCTGGTCTATGAAAGCAATTCTACGTGGCTTCAAAATGGTTTTAGGGCTAAGAGTTAATTTTCATAAAAGCATGATTTTAGGTTTTAATATTGATCCTAGTTTCTTGGAGGCAACTTCTGATTTCTTGGCCTGTTCAATCTATCACCCCCTTTTAATTTCTTGGGAATTCCTACTGGTATCACTACGAAAAATAATACTTTTTATCACAAAGGTTTCACTTTGAACATGATAAAAATTGAGCATATAGGTCCTGGGAGCGACATGCTTGATTATTATTTTTTTAAAGCAACCTTTTCCCTCGGTTTTATAAAAAATCGAGGTAATATAACTATAAGTGAGCGTCATATTTTCTCCATAAAAAAGTAATAAACCTATTACCTCGGTGTTTTTTAAAACCGAGGAAATATAATTATAAGGGAACACACTTCCAATCCCTGTAACTGCATTTAAGGTTTTTGTCAATGATTTCTCACTTGACACTTTCCAATCTTCCCTTTTTTTTCTTAGTTAATTTTTTTCTCATTTATTTCTTGTTAATTAGTTATTCTCAAAATTTTTGTTATCAATAAAAACGAATAGAAAATAATATGAAAGTAAATATTTCATTAATTAAAAACAAGACAACAAATAACTATTCCACATATTCAATTTTCTTACTCCACTCAATTTCACTAGTATCACTATTAACTATCTATAACTAAGAGAAACATTCAGAAAGAACTCTTCCAAATGGTATGAGAAAAGTCATTTCCTCCCTATAGATGATTATCATTTCCTTTAAGAAGTTAAAAATGGTAAGAGGAAGATTAAATTTGATGTTTTTGGTAATGAATAATAAGAGATGTTTGTCATCCCAAGTAAGCATTCCAGTTGTTTCTCTCTTAAATGGAGATTTGACACTAGAAGTTGATACAAAACTTTTTCAATTGGTTGTAGAGTAGTAAGACTGCTGAGATTATCGTTGTTGGCATAAATTAGGAGAAAGTGATATGAGTAGGCATTGTTGAATCTATAATGTTCAACACAATAACCTTCCTTTCACAGTTTATTGTCTGAGAAATAAGTGACTAGGAATTGTGATAGGAAAGCCATTTACATAGAGTTGGATTGACTCAACATCATGACCACATAGTCCAATAGAGGAATTTAACCCGAACTATTTAACGAAATTAATGTAGATGGGTCCATGAAGAATGTAAAAGTAACCATTCAACTTTTGTTTGCAAATAGTTTTTCTTAGATCAAAATCTTTGTCTTTCAAATCATCAAAATCAACACACTTTTCATTGATAACGAACAAAATTTTTTTATCTAAGGTTGTTGAAGACATTTTTGAAGAAAAGAAAATAATTTGAAACTAGGTTTGAAGAGACAAAGAGTTGGAAATGAGACGTTGAAACTTGAAATAATGTTTAAATAAAGTGGAGAATAGGAATGCATCCTTGAAAATCCAAAAGATACGTTACATTTTTGAATATGGATGATCATTGCTATTCTAGTGATATGATTCCAATGCGCACCGTGATATTTTTTTAGAAATAGAAATCACATATTACCTCAGGTTTTGTTAATCAACTTATTATCTCGGTTATTCAAATAATCTGAGCGGAAAAGCATTTTAGGAACCTTTTGTTTATTATATAATTTTTTTTTGTAAACTAAATAATATATCCAATCGGTTTTCTTAATAACCGAGGGATAAGATAATCAGACTTTACTATAAAAGTACTTGTTAAACAGATTTTACCCTAATTTTAACTTATATGTAGCCGCTCCAAACTCGAACGCATTATTCTTTTGAGATCCATCTCACAAAATAGTGTTGTTGTTGTTGTTGTTGTTGTTGTTGTATTTAGAAGCTTGTAAAAGTTCTCTATGATGGATTGCAAGTTTAGAAAAATATTTTTTCAATGTTGAAACAACTAATTTCTTTAGAAGTTGGATGCATTCAATGCTAGGAACAGTAACTCATAGAAATTGGATGTATGCAATACTTGAACCAGATAACTCCTTACACCAAAATTCTGATTTTGCTGTATTATTGTTTTTCAATATTTTGTGTAAACAAAGTAATTTTAAAAAAAAATCATGTTCACGCCGTCCTTAAACAAATCTTTGCCGACCATTTCATGATTATCAATGCTCAAGACACTACCATTAGTGATCCACGTTAAACCTAAAAAATTTCTATTATAAAGGCCTTCTGATATCTATAATTGATAAAGAAACGACATGAAACACTTTAAATTATCTACATCCTCCACTTTAACTTTTTTCATTAGGAGTTCTCTATAATGGATTACAAGTGCAAAAAGTTATATGGGTTTAAAGTTTGTGTTTTTAAATATTCATTTGAGCAGAAAATCATTTATTTTTTTAACCCTTTTTTTCTAACATTTTTTTTATATTAGAAACAAATACTTGCAAGGTGAATTATTTGATCTTGCCCAAATATTAAGGATTCAAAGATCTAACATATGATCTTCAGGGATAAATTAATTTTTATTTTAATATTATGTGTAAACAATGTAATATTCTAGGTAAACATTTTAGTTTGTAAACAAATTATTTTTATTTATTTTATGGGTAAATAATGTAACGAATTTCAATTAAAAAACAATCCATCTTACTCCTTGGTTTTATTGTAAACCGAGATGTATGAGGCGCTAGTTTTGTAAATAATAAAAATGCTGATGCCGAGGTTCAAACCCATGTGCAAATTAATATACTCCTCAGTGTTTAAAATATCGAGGTGATAAGCTGTTACTTTTTATGACGCCTTTCATTATCTCGCTACTGCAGTCGAGATAAAATACATTTCGCATCAGACGTTAAAAGTACTTTTTATAGTAGTGTATAAATCCTAGAAGGCACAACTCTTGGAACCTCGAGCTTTATTAGTAGTTACACGAATGCTCAAATCAATACCGAAACACATGTAGAGTGCCGGGTCTTTAAGCCTGATAATGCCACAAAGAAAGTGCACAAGCAAGAATCCCTGCATCGAATCCATACCGAAGAGACTTGAAAAGGTCTCAGACGATCTACACCGAAAAGACATTAGGAGCACTCATTCCTTGTACCCGGGGAACTTATTCATAAGGGAGGGGATCTACACCAGAAAAGGAGTTTACGGCCGGTTCCTATATAGACACTATGGCCCACCCTTTCTTTGAACCTTGTCAATGATCTATTCCTTTACACATTTTCTCTTTCTACAAAGCTCCTAAGCTTGTGATCCAAGACATAATCAAAATTCAGCTACCCTTTCTTTGGGAAGGGGAAGAAAAAAAGAGGAGGATCAATTGGGTCTCATGGTCACCAATCTGTAAACCAAAATTTGAAGGAGGCTTAGGTCTTAAGCATTGCGAGTATTTCAATCTGGCCCTCTTGTATAAGTGGGCCAAAAAAATTGTCGACGAGCAGAATTCCCATGGTCCCATCTCCTATCCTTCAAATATGGAGACACAAAGAGCCATTTGCTTGATCCCTCTAGGCCATTAAACAATAAAAAGTCTCCTTGTGGAGAGACTTAAGGGAAATAATGGCTTTCAGGGGGCATGATGACTGTTGGTTTGCCAATAGCATTTTTTGCAAACTTGGTTTTGGTTCAGATATAGACAGTTGGGGGTTCAGATGGCTTGGCTCCCAACCCCTCAAAGACTTGTTCCCTTCTCTTTTTGAATTGGTTCAGGATCTTAGGATCATAGTTAGTGATGCAAGTGAGTGGTTAAATGACATTTGGAGTTTGAACTTTGGGATTGATCTCTCACATCTCTCAATGGCAGCCATACTATAATTGATTTGAAGGATTGACTCTTTGATCCCCTAGTTTTCTTTCCTTAGTCTTTGTTTCTTGTTGGTTTTTCCCCCCTATTCATTCTTCCTTTGTATCAAGGTTGAGTACCCTTGTACTCAAATTAATAGAATCTCTTGCTTATAAAATAAAGGAATAGAATATTTATCAATAAAATATATATATTTTTGAAAATTATTTTCTAAGATATTGTGAGATATTACATCATGCACATTTTTTTAGAATAAAGAAAATGAATTACAAAAGAGAATGGACAGGTTGAGAATTTTTCCTGCCATTCTTTGAATACTATATTTTGATATTTGACATCTTGGTAGATTGTTGTTTGATGATCTGTGCAGTTGATGGGCTATTCTCCAAAATAACTTCATAACCATCTCCATAGCTACCCATTCCTTGAGACAGAAGTTGCCAGAAAATCCCACCTGCACAAGATCCACCGCTAGTAGCACTTGCAGATATAATATTGTATATTTTCTTATAGTAATCATCCCTAGCATCTATGCTATATCCAGGTGACTTTGAAGACTTTCCAAACTCTGCTACAATTATTGGCTTTCCTAGTACATTTTTACTGTCCTGAATATGTTCTTCTATCCATTTGTCAACAAATGCACTCTGGTTTGCCTCGTTTGAGCCTAGTAACCTGCATCAATAATTACACTAGGGTTTTGTGGTGAATGAGAGATAAAAACCTACATTAAAATCATTCTAAATCATGTTTAAGAGTGGTACCATTGATCAGGGTACAGGTGAATGGTTGCAAAATCAATTTGAGGAATTTGGTTGTTGGATATAAAATCAGTTCCGACTAGAAGTGAATCCGGGTTGAACTGCTGCTTTGTTTCACCGTAGAAACCTTCAAGTCCTATTTCCACCAAATGATTGTTGTCAATGGATTTCACATAACTCGCCATTTCACTTATCCAATTCTACAGTAATTTATGCCAAATTATTTGTCACAATGAATGCACAATTGAAGTACTAGTAAAAACCAATTCAGTTGGTAGTTATGCATGAACATCACTAGTTATGCAGACACACCAGAATGCACATCTGTGATATCCCATTTATTCACCTTTAAAGATTGAAAATCCAGCCACTAAAAGAAGAAAATGAAAAGAACCTGAATTGATTTTCCTGAGCCATTTAAACGAGGCTCATTCATAAGCTCCCATGCGAATATAGTTTGATCATCTTTGTATAAAATACCATTTATTGTGTTTTCTCTTGTTAGCACAGTCTGCAATCAATCACCCAAATATGTTAAAATTTACATTGCTTTAATTTTGTTGTATTTTCCTGCAAAGTAAAGTAGCTAATACATACTATAGAATTAAAAAATTATGGTATGTACCTTAACATGATTTTTGTAGTATTCCTTAACAACAGGATGAGTAAAAAAGTCATCATCATTTATTACATTTTGGCCACGTCCTTTTGCCCATTGAACATATTTAATTTTGCCTCCAAACTCTTCCCAATTATTCACCAAACTTAGTATAAGTTGTACTCCATATTTTTTTGCCTCTGAAATTACAAAATCCAAACCCTATGCACACAAATACTGTAAAATATAAATCGACAACATTAATAGTCAAACAGACAACAAGCTGTGCCGCTACCCCTTTAAAAAGAACATTACCTTGAAGGCATTTTCGTCGTAAGAACCCGGAGAGGTTTGAAGGAATCCTTCATTGAAAGCCCATGTTCTTCCTAGATTTAAACCATTTTGAGAAGCTTGTTGAAAAGTTGAAGTAACCTTAGATCTTGTAGATGGGTCAGTTGCCAAGTTCATTAACCAATAAGAATTGAATCCATTCACATAATGTGGTTTCCCATTTAGATAAAAATGAGTGCCTTTTCTTTCAACGAAGCCTGCACCATTCCCAGGTTGAACAACAACAACAACCAAAGCCACTATGAAATACGTTAATACCAAAGTTTGAAGCTCCATTACTCAGAATAAATAAAATTTATGTATGTACTCATTTTCAGTTATAAAGGCATTAAACATGGAAGGAAATATATAAGTTTTATTTTAATGTAATAATTAATATGCTTAAATTAGCTCACTGACGTTGGTAATATATCTTTGACGATACATAATTAATAAAAAGAAAAGAATGGCATTTGACAATATTTTTTCATTTATTATTTTTGAAAATAACCGTTTTTAAAAGAATGGCTTCCGTTTCTTCTGTAGGTTCCTAACTGGATGCAAATTTGTCGTATGATCTTAAATTGATTTGGAGCTCTTGCGTTCCAAGAAATATTCAATTTTTTGGCTAGAGGCTTCAATTGAGTAGGCTTCAAACTAGAGATAAATTGGCTAAAAGAAGGATCCTTTTTAGTGTGCAGAATATTGTCTTTCCTCTCTACAGAATCTCATGTGCATTGTTTCTTCTTTGCTCAGTAGCTAATCGTGTATGGCTCATCATATTGGAATGGATCGGCCTTGGGTATTTACTGAGCTTTTGTCTAATTTGAAGGCCTTTGGAAACCCCTTGAAAGGAAAGATCAAGAAAGAGGTGTACCTTCTATCATATGGTCTATTTGGTTGATGAAGAATGAAACACCTTTCAAAGGGGACTATAAAGGAGTGGCTGAAATAAAGGAGTGGCTGAAATAGTAGCTTTGGCTAAGAGTTTATCTTGAGATTGACTTGGAGCTAATTCCAAGGGACTATAGGTTTTGATTTGAAGGATTGATTCTTTGATCCCCTAGTTTTTTTCCCCTTAGTCTTTGTTTTTTTCCCTATTCTTTCTTCCTTTGTATCAAGGTTGAGTACTATTGTACTCAAATTAATTGAATCTCTTGTTAGCATTAATTGTGGTTTAATTTGTGAAAACTGGTTAATTCTGATTCTAATGGGTTTGTATATCTAAGCCTTTTATTAGTTAAGTGATCTTTTTTAACTAATGACTGAATATTTAAAATCTAATTAGTGTAGGTAAAAGTGTGAGCTTTAACCTTGAGCCCAACCTATTATGGGTAGGGATTAGAGTTATATATATTATATAGCCGAATCCTCTCTGTAATCACAATAAAAATCAGAAATATAACTGAAGACTCCACAACTTGAGTACAATGATACTCAAACTTGATACAAAATTTTGTAATTCTTTATACTCGCTTCAAATATTTTGTTCATTTAAAAATATTGATACAAAGTTTTGTAATTCTTTATACTCGCTTCAAAAATTTTGTTCATTTAAAAATATTGCGTCATATGTTTTCAAATTAAAAAAAAAGCATTTTCACAAAATATAAAAGACTCATGTGCAGTTGCATAGTTGGTTCATTGAGGTTTTTAGCAATTATATTTTTATTTTTCTTTCTAGAAAATCATATGTATAAATATTATTGGATTTTGCTGTTTGTTTAGATTTGTTTTTTTTTTTAATTTTAATTTTCATATACTCATATGATTTATTAGGTTTATTAATATGAAAATATATATTATTAGGTTTATAAATTCAACTTTTTAGTATATATTATTAAATATATTAATAGGTTTTCATTTTTTCAAATTTAATATATTATTAAATTTATTTAAAATATTTTATAAAATATAGAAAATATTAACATAATATATTATATGTATAGACACAATTTTTATAGTTGTAAGAAAAAAACATAATATATATATATATATATATATATATATATATATATATATATATATATATATATATATATATATATATATATATATATATATATATATATATATATATATATATATATATATATATATATAATTTCTTAATATATAGTATTTTAAAAAGAATATATAAAATAGTTATAAAATAAAATAACAAACAGAGTATATTATTTTAAAAAGAATAAACAGAATACTATTATTGAATATATTAAATAGTTTAAAGAATAAACAAAATATATAAAATAGTTTTCGAATTTAATATACTTTTAAATATATTATTAGATTTATTTGATATTTTATAAAATATAGAATATATTAAACAAAATAAATTAAGTAATAATCTAAAAACTAGGCTCGAAATAGTTGAAAAAGGAGTCACCTCAATGCAGTTGGAAGCATTAGTGTCGTCAAACACGTTTAATGAGTGGTAATTATAACTACTTTTTTAAGTCACATTTTGATTTACTATATATATTTAATTAAAGTTAATTTTATTAATTTGGCTAACTATTTGGGGGACACCCACGAATGAAAGTTAGTTGCAAAGATTCGTATCAAAAAATGGGAGGAATTTGTTGAGGAATGTACAAGATTAGCTTTGGTAAATTGTTTATATTGTATTATTCTATTTAAATTAATTCTCGTATATGAATAAATTGTTTAAAAGTTTTAATTTTTGATGGAAAATTTGTAGCATGGTTTTCATGTGGAAACTAGTTTAATTTTGTTTGTGGCGTGAAAATCATGTGGTTGTATTTCATTATTTTATATAAATAAATTGTTTAAACTATATTTAACTTAATTTTTTCCTTGTATGTGTAGGAGGACTATCAGATATTGCTCGCAAAATTCTTAGTTCAAAATCCTCAGTATACTCCATTAGGTCCAAACCCGATTGATGAACGCGCGAATCTTTATATTTGGAGTTTAGTAATTGGCCGGAGAGGACCTAACAAGTGATTTTTTGTGTGCGGGATCTTTAGTCGGGAACTACAAACAAGAGGATCAATCTTTATTTGAAAGATTTATGGACAGGGAAGAAATTTTACGTCCACCACAATTGACAACCCAAGTGATGGAAAAAGTGTGACAATTGGCTAGTTGATGAGACGTGAGGCAGTAGAACATGAGGCGCAGACGGTAAAACGTAAGATGACGATGAATGTCCAAATCAAGACAATGAAAAAAGAGACAAATTGAGATAGAGGAAATAATGCAACAATTGCTCTCACAAAGAAATCAAACAAATAATTCAATGGGTGGTGATCTGGATGATGATAATGATGATGTGGATGAAGCTATAGATGATGATGTTGATTGATTTTTTTATTATTATTTTACTTTTAAATATTCATTTTTGTATAATATTTTTAATCATTTTGAATTTAATTATTTTTAATTGAAATTCATATTTTTAATTAATATTTGGAAATATAGGTAATTTTTATTAATAATTGAAAATAATATTTTTAATTGTAAAAAGATTTATATTTTATAATTTTTGAATTTAATCAAAATATTAATATTCCTAATTAATAATTGAAATTAATAATTTCGTATTTTTTAATTAAACATTAATTTGTGTCATGTAAAACACGACGCTAATTAATGACAATTATTTCAAATTAAGGTCGTAGAAAACACAAAGCAAAATTCATGTTTGTATCATAAAAATCACGTGGCAAACAAGACAACAAAGACAAGTCTAATACAGAAATCAACCATAATAAAACAAATCCAGAATAAAGTTGAAATTAGAGTGCAGTCACAAGTAAGAAAAAGCCGAGAGATAACTGAATTCTAACCACGATCGAATCCAAATCACCTTGCTGAAATCTTGAATCAAGCTTGTCGAATGAAGAAAAACTGAATTTGAACCTAAAACTATCTTTGTGTTGATGTTGTTGGTATGGTGGTTGGAGTTGTTAGTGTTGTGATGTTCAGAGTTGTTGCAAACAAAGGGAGTGCATTAAGGGTTGCTAGAGGCAGAATGAGTTGTTTAATAGTTGTTGCATGTCGCCGAAAGTGTAGTTGGGGGTTGCTGGAGGTTGTGTTGAGCGATGAGTTTTGGATTTGGCGACATCGAGGTTGTTGTTGGTTTTGTGTTTTGGATCCGGAAACGTCGAGTTTATTATAGTGTGGTGGCCATGTGTTCTTCAGTGGTGGCCGACGTTTGGTTTGCGCTAAAGTAAGGAAGGTTAGGGGTGGTCGGCGCTGGTTGTGAGTAGTGCATTTGAATGAGGTTGAAGATTCGTTGCCTGAGATGTGGGCTTGGTGTACGGAGGAGTGCTGATGTTGAGTTCGTGGCATTGTGAGGAGGGAAAACATATTTTGTGTGTGGAAGAAGGAGGGTAATGTTCAACCATAGTGAAAAGTGGCTTATAAATAAATAAATAAATAAAAGCTCAGTAGTTTTGAGATCTGCTTGATAAAGTCTCATCACGATTCGTGGTTAGCCCTGCGTAGAACCTAAGTTCAGTTTGTAGGATAGCCAACTTAAAATTCCTTTTTGGTTCGAGATCATCCTATGTAAAATTTATGTTTGGTTTGTAAACTAATCGTTTCAAGCCTGTTTGTGTTTTGGTTGGAAGGCTAACCATTTCAAGATGTGTTTGTTATTTAATTAGAAATTATCCTGAAAAATTCATTTTCTTGTATAAGGAATTCTTGGACTTAACCTTCTAAAAGCTCTAAAAATATATTGAATATTCTCAAGATAAAATCTTAGGGAGAGGACTAAATCACTTCTTTAGACTGAAGCTCTATACATCTTTAGTGCCATGTCTTTTCTCTTATTCATCTTATTTTGCACTTAAGATATAATGGATACTCTAAAAAACAAGTCTTAGAGAGAAAACTATGTCACTTCATCAGACCAAAACCTCTATAAATTTTCGGTATCATCTCTTTATCCTTATCCCTTTTATTTTCCGTTTAATTTCTTTACTTTAAATTTCTATTGCTTAGATATTTAAGTTTTTTTAATAAAATAATTTCAAACTCTTATTTAAAAAATTATTTTGTTTTAAATAATTAATTTTCAAACCTCTACCATTCATCCTCTATATGAAGTCACATTTTCTACTCAATGAACATGAATCAAATTCACTTATCCCTTCAATTTAATGAACCACCTTTTATGGATTCACTTAATTTCACAAATAGATATACTAGTATCATCATTTAAACATGATTTCTTAAGCAAACACAACACAAGAGGAGAAGGAATATTTAATGATTTAAATATATTTTTCTTTTATGTGAAGTATTATTTTCTATGATAGAATGATATGCTATCTACCATGCACACTTTTTATGGTTAAGAAAAATGGATAGGCTGAGAATTGTCTTTCTGCATTTCTATAATTTGATATTTGACATCTTAGTAGATTGTTGTTTGACGATCTCTCCAGTTGAAGGACTATTCTCCAAAATAACTTCAAAACCATCTCCATAACTATCCATTCCTTGAGTCAGAAGTTGCCAGAACATTGCACCTGCACAAGAGCCTCCACTAGTAGCACTTGTAGATATAATATTGTATATTTCTTTATAGTAATCATCCCTAGCATCTATGCTATATCCAGGTGACTTTGAAGACATTCCAAACTCTGCTACAATTATTGGCTTTCGTAAAATAGTATTTGAATCCTCAATATGAACGTCTATCCATTTGTCAATAGCTGCACTCTGGTTTGAGTTTTCTAACCTGCATTATCCATAATAACTCGATGCTAATCAAACTGATTTAAAAAATTAAGTTGTTTAATGAATGATCCCAGAATTTAGGGTTTACCAATAATCATGGTATACATGAATGGTAGAAAAATCGATTTCTGGAATTTGATTGTTGGAAATAAAATCGGTTCCGATTAATAGTGAATAAGGATTTAACTGCTGCTTCGATTCGCCGTATAATCCTTCAAGCCCTATTTCCAGCAAATGATTGCTATCAATGGATTTTACATAACTTGCCATCTCACTAACCCAGTTCTACAATAATTTGATTTCAATGATAATGAGTAACTTAAAATTTGGATATATGCATTTAAAAATAATATTAAAACATAAAGTTATGATTTAAAAATAAAAATAAAAGGACCTGAATTGATTTTCCTGTTTCATTTATACGAGGTTCATTGATTAGCTCCCAAGAGAAAATAGTTGGATCATCCTTGTATAAAAGTCCATTTATGGTGTTCTTTCTTGTTAGCACAGTCTGCAATAAATATCAAATATTTTTGGTTAACATATGAAATTATTTTTAATAATCAAATAAATTAAAAGTGCACCTTAATATGATTTTTGTAGTATTGCTTAACAACAGGGTGTGTAAAAAAGTCATCTTCATTTATGACATTTTCACCATTCTCTCTTGCCCATTGCACATATTTACTTTTGCCTCCAAGTGCTTTCCAATTATTCACAAAGCCTAGTATAAGTTTCACTCCAAATTTTGTTGCTTCTGATATAACAAAATCCAATCCCTACATATACATGCAAATATTCAATGAAAAATGTGGTGGAATTAGAAAATGTGCTATGCACTCATTGTTTTCATGAATTAATCATGATTTAACTTCATAAATATTTTATAAGGTCCAATTTAAATATAATTTAATTTAAAAATTGGAGGTCCTATGCAGCAGACCACATTGCACGCCCTTCTTCAGAGAGAATATTAATTGTATTATTTATAGGTTTTTAACTTATCAAAACTATTACTGTTTACAAATCTTAGTTTAATGGACAAAACTAATATTATTACGTTGGAGATTAATACTAGAGATCGAACTCTAAATTTAAGGATGACAAATAGGCATGTCCACGCCGTTTAGACTCGTTCTATAAAAGTTCAAGAAAAGTAAGACGAAACATAGCAGTGCATACATAGTTGAGGATACGGGTCTAAAACCTACTCTTTTGTCCCACAAAAAAGTGAGGGCAGGACGGAAAAAGGTTACAAACACATAAATTATATAAATATCCGTGTCTGCAAATAAAATAGGACGGGACGGATCAGACACATTAGAGAATAAAGTCCTAAACCTTGTTGTGTCCTGCACTAAAGTGTAGGCAAAACAAACATACTCAATCGGCCGGACTCAATTTATCACTCCTACCTAAATATCACTGTTGTGTGTGTGGTGATTACTATTTTGTCTACACATTACAAAAAATTACCTTGAAAACATTTTCGTCATAAGAACCTGGAGAGATTTGAAGGGGTCTATAATCTCCTTCGTTGAAAGCAAATGATCTTCCTAAATTCAAACCATGTTTAGAAGCTTGTTGAAAAGCTGAAGTGACTTTGGATCTTGTAGATGGGTCAGCTGCCATAATCATTAACCAATAGGCGTTAAATCCGTTCACATAATGTGGCTTCCCATTTAAAACAAAATGGGTGCCTTCTCTTTGAACAAAACTCGATTCAACATTAGCTCTTTGGCAATTCCCATGTTGAACAATAAAAGACACTAAGAAAAATGTCAACACGAAAGTTTGATATCCCATGTCTCAATTCTGAATCACAAAATCACAATCGCAAAAAATGTATGTAATTTATCCTCAAAATCTCAGTTACATATATATGAAGAAAGTTGTATAAATTTTGACCATACACAATAAGGAAATTTGACCATACACAATAAGTAAATTTGCTTATAAATTTTGATCACACACAATAAATAAATTTGTAAATAATTAAACATACTAAGATTAAAATATTTTATTTTATAAACAAATTTTAACTATTAAATAATCGATGTATCTTTTATATATATATATATATATATATATATATATATATATATATATATATATATATATATATATATATATATATATATATATATATATATATATATATATATATATATATATATATATATATATATATATATATATAATTAAAATATAATATTTATCGAGGGAATTTAAAATTTAAAATTTGTTTATAAAAGAGAACAGAAGAAATATATGTATGGAATGAAAAAGATAAATTAAAACACAAAACCATGGTCATTGTCAATGTTTTAAAATTACCATCGATCCAATCAATCTATTAAACTATTAGATTAGTGGTCGGAGGAGTGGTTTATTGGTCAGACTGCATGACTTCTAATCTAGTTTATACAAATTAAAATAAATAACTATTTATTAAATAAAATTCTTGACATAAATTTCATAACTATAAAATTTACAAAAAAAAAATTCTATAAATTTATTTATACAAATAAGTTAAATAACAATTTTAAATAAAATTTCAAATTTCAAACATATATAACTTTGTTGATCCATATAAATTAACAAAAGTTAAAAAAATACTTATATGATATAATACAATCAGAAACTAATATAGAAAATAAATAAAGTTATGATCTATATAAATGATTAAAAATAAAAGATAGAACAAATAAAAATCTATAAATAAGTAAATAATTTAAAAATTCTGTGACTTTTACTTAAAAATAATGGGATTTATATTAAAAATAATATAAAAATTTAATTTCAACTTTGTTTTAAAAATATAATATTTTTTTCAAATGATAAAACTCATACCAAAAATAATGTGAAAATATAATTTTATTTTTCTTTTATAACATGATTATTTTTCAAAGCTTTTGTTAATTTATAAATATAATTTTATTTTTTTATAACATTATTATAAATAAGTTAATTTTTTTTTTAAATTTTAGCTAATAAAATCAAATTTTAAAACAAGGGCACCAAACTTAAGAAAAATAAATATAAGAAGATCAAAATTATAATTAAGCTAAAAAAATCAATCCGTCTGATCAAAAAATTCATTGGTTCATGGTATGACCAATGAACCGACCGGGTCACACTAATTTTTATCGGATCAATTGCAACTATGGTCCGATGATCTTACTGAACTACTCTACCATTTGATTCAGGATCTAACCGGTCCAACTGGTCGAAATGGTCTGGATTTTTAAACACTAGTCATTGCAAAAAGTATTAAACTATACATACTTTCCTTTTAAATCATATATTTTCTTATGAGAAATTAAAAGTACGGTGTAAAAATGGAGTATAGTCGGAAAAATTTCTCATTCCAACTATAATTTTTTTCTTTCTGTCAGGATCATCTAGATTGTTTGGCATAGCTTTTAGTTGGTGCAAATTTTCTCTTTTATTTTTATTTTTTTACCTTTGTTGATTTTCTGTCTTTTGTATAAAGGGTTAGAGTATTCCTAATACTCTATTAATCTAATATTTTGCTTAAAAAAATCATATATTTTTACTCTAATAGTAAGTTAAAAGACTTACTCCAAATCTGACATTTTTACTCTAATAGTAAGTTAAAAGACTTACTCCAAATCTGACATTTTTACTCCATGAGTAAATTAATAATCTTGCTACGAATTTTATTTTAATCCAACGGTCTCAATTAATCATTAATTCTATAGTATTTATGGATCTTTTTGTTTTGTCTTTTTAAAAATGATTTTTATAGTATAACATAATTTTATGTAAAAAAAATTACAAAAAAACTGTTCATAAAAGTTTTAAATAAAAATTTGGTTTGAATAAGTATTCTTAAAATGTTATTTTAAATATTTCATATTATTTTTAAAAAAATTTTTTTAGATATCAAAATTTAAAAAATTCACTTAATTTTGAAACTACTTCAAATAGTTTTTCATGAAAATCATTTTTAAGATTAAACATTTTGAAAAAATTACGATTTTGACTATGTTTTGATATTCAATAATGTATATTTATGTTATAAGATGTCAAAATTAATCTTTAAATTTTTAAAATCCGAATGTAAGAAATTTATAATATTTTAAAAAACGATTTTATATAATCAATTTTTAAAAATGTGAAGAAAAAATATCCATTTTTTAAAAACTAAAACAAACAGATGTGAATTAGCTTTATTTTTAAAAGCTAAGTGAATATATCTTTTCTAACTTTATTTCAATCCGATATACTTTTCTAAAATAGATTTCACAAATTTATTTTATTATTTTTTATATAAAAGTGATTTTTTTAATAAAAAGAACAAATATAATGTTTGACACAAATTTTAATTTAGTTATTTTATTATTTAATCATTTTATATATAAAAGTGTTTTTTCTATAAAAAGAACAATAAAACAAATTTTAACTTAAATCACTTTTTTTTAAAAGAGAATCTCTAATATAACGATTGAAACTAATTTTAAAAATTCTAAATTACAAAAAAAAAAAAGAGAGAAAATGAAAGTAACTAAAAATAAGAATTGTCACACAAAAATTATAAATCAAAATTTGTCTAATTTTGTAAAATATTATTGTCACCGAAGTTAAATTTCAAGCTTTAGATTAAACATAATTACGTTTGTTGTAAATATGCCTTAAAATCTTTGTTGATGAATTGAAAGAAAATATATTTTGGAGATTGCATTTATTGCGAAAATCGGACGAAAAGTCGAGGAAAAAAAATCGTACGGATGAATAGTGACGTCCGTACGATGAATAGTGTTGTCCGTATGTTAAATAATATTTTCGAGTTTTCGGGCTTTGCGATTCGGTCCATCGATCCATGTGATTTTGAGCTTTGTTTGTTAAGTATTTGCTATTATAAATACTAGCGTCCAGACGGGCACTCGCGTGCCCGTCTGTCCGCTTTTTTATTGCACACAAATAAATATAAATAATATATTTTTATATAATATTAATTTTACATGGAAGTTATGTGAGAAGTTATTAGTAAGGAGTTATATGAAAGATGATAGTAGTAGTTCAATGGAAGTTATTGTGTAAGTTATATATTTTAAAATAAGGGTAAATTTGGTATAAAAAAAAGCTACACCAAAAATCAAGTATTGCCTTTATATATGTTATACATTATAGATAAATGATATATTTTTATTTAATATTAATTTTACATAGAAGTTATGTGGGAAGTTATTAGTAGGGAGTTATATGAAAGATGATAGTAGTAGTTCAATGGAAGTTATTGTGTAAGTTATATATTTTAAAATAAGGATAAATTTGGTATAAAAAAAAGCTACACCAAAAACCAAGTATTGCCTTTATATATGTTATAGATTATAGATGTATCTCTTATATGTTTGGTGTGTGACAATCTTAGAGTTTTCACTAACAAGGGATACCAAGGGTTTAAAGGTATAGCATAAGGTTTCAGCTATGCACAAAGAAAACCTTGGATGGGTTTGAGCGATTCATATATTAAAAGTTGGAGAGGTAAGGAAACACTTGGTTAGAAAATAGGGTTGTTCTTGGGCGCCTTCAGGATTGTTCTTGGGAACCTGAAGGCGAAGGCTATTTTCTTGTAACTCTTTTGTAATCTATTGTAACAACTTTCTGAGTATAGTGAATTGGAGAGATGCTTTCTCCTCAGAAGTGGATCGTTTATCGAACTGGGTAAACAAACCTTCAATTTTTTCTTGCCTTATTCTGTTATATTATTTGTGTACAGATTTGTTAGAACACAGATTGGTTCTTAATTATATCTCTATGTTTTGATGATAACTCTTATGAAATTTTGTATTAAAGAATTATGTACTCTAAAATTTGTTCAAGTATGTTTGCTGCAGATATTAAAGATAATATACTTCTGAAAGCAAATTGGATATGAACATGCAACTATGCAAGGCTCTGAAGCGTCAGAAGCATCTGTTAGAAGAATCTGAATGCTGCCTACAGAAGATTCTGAGCGCTGCCTACAGAAGGATCTGAAGCAGAAGCTACAGAAGCATCTGGAGCATAGTCTGAAGACTTTTGTATGAAGAGTTTCAAGCACAGTTTTTCAGAAGACTCTGATGGTATTGTACGCTGCAAGTACTGAGGATCTGATTCATAAAATTCTGCTCAAATGAAATTACACGCTGAAGCACACTTGCTGCAATGCTCTGATTCAGCAAACTCTGATGAACATCAAAGACTCTGATCACTCAAGGCTCTGATGTTATTTGCTGAGTATTAGAAACTTGTTGAAGAAGAATTCAAAGTTATGTCCGTTGGTTTGACCAAACGACTCTTTCCTCATTTATGCTAGACACAAGAACACAGACAAAAAGGATTTCTCTGTGCATTCTACTTCTAGGAAAGGTCATGTGATGTGAAGACAAAAAGGCTACAACCCTTTCAGTACACAGCCTTCAACGTGAAAACTACTTGGACTCCTGTGCCTATAAAAGCAAGTCTCCAACTCTCTTCTTCAGTTGACGCATTATTGAAAGAAATTCATTACAAGCTCTCATACAATTAATTCTCTTTGCTGAATTTATTTCATACGTTCTTAAAACTTAAGTGTAAAATCACAATTGTGATATAGCTTAATTAGAAGCATTCAAACACTTGTTTTAGTTCTTACATTTAATTGTAAAAGTTCCTTGAGAAGACCCAGTTGTGGTCAGTAGTTCTTGAGAAGACTAAGAACAGTTGCTCTTAGTGCTTACTATTGTAATCAGTTGATTAATAGTGGATTAAGTCCTTGTTGATAAAGGCAAATCACTCTTGATAAAGCCTTCAACCCC